CATAACAGGAAACAATAATGAATCATGTGGATTAAATCACGTGATTGGGTGGGGTTATCATCGGTGACGTCAGCGGACACTATCCCAGCCAGACACATGAATAAATGAATACATATTTTTTTATGAACCACACACACACACATACACACACAATATTGATTCTCATCAATATTGATTGGGTCTTACTTGGTGAAGAATATTATAAATATCACAGAAAGCAATTTCTGAAAGTGATAACGTATTTATTAATTAAATAATTTATTTCTCACTGAGCTATAAATTTGATATTGGAAAGATACAAACTCTTTCCAATTATTTTATTGTTTGTATACAGGAAACGCTACATGGGCGATCTACCAAGGAGAGTGTGTCTCTCTGGAGGATCTTCTATGGCAAACTAACCATTTTTAAGTATCGTTAAGATGAAGAAATACTGGAAAAATCCACGTAGCCAGCCCATTGGTAATGCGAAAACCCAGTATTCAGTGGTTTTATCGAATGAGCCATTGGTGCATGCAGCACAATACCATCTATTGAATAGAATCAATAGGTTCAACAGATTCAAAATAAGTGATAATAGATTCAATATCCATTGAATCTATGATCATTTATTTTCTAGTAAGCTGCCATTCATTTTTCTTTCGGTTTCAAATTCACTATTTTTTTCCATTCCACAATCAATTTCTAGTACACTAGAAAAAATTTTGATTTTTCTTGTTTTTGCAGAATAACTCACCAGTTATATCGAAAATAGTTTAAACAAAATGTTGCATCTTTTGTCATGTCCACAGAGCTAGATAAGTACCGAAAAATTCATGTTTTTCGAGTTACCCCACCATCAATTTTTAAAATAAAATTTCATGCGTTATCTTATGTATCGTGAGGTTTCTCCAAATTAGTAAAAGTTAATTTGATAATAAAAACAGCATGTTAAGTAATATTACGTATAATGCTTTATGAAAAGAGGCTATGGAGAAATATTTTCGCATAAATGTACAGAGCAAAAATTTTATTTTATGGGTTAGTGGTAGGAATAAAATCGAAAAATATGAATTTGTCGATACTTAGCTTTGTAGACATAAAAATGGATATAAGTTTTGTTTAAACTTTTTTCCATTTCTCTCTCCGATCGGCAGTTCTTCCGCTAAACGAGAAATCCACATTTATTCCGAAGAGAAGATTTCGCTTCCTCAAACTGTAATATGGCACGAAAAAAAAAAAGCAGTTGAATAATTCTATTTGAATGCAGTGTTTCAGATTTTTTTGAATTTTCCAATTGCTTAACCTCCTTTGTTAATTTCCTAAAGTATAATAAAACAGGCCCACCAGTGACAAGCAGTTTCGGTCCCTGAACACTAGGATTTCAGTCGTGGGTTCGCGCCTGGCCAGGAGGGCTGGCCACGTGGAGTTTTTCGGCTATTTCTCCACGTCTGTAACGCCTGAACAGAAGCCAGTTACCCTTAAAAGACCTCCCGGAAGGCATCCCCATACGCAGATCGCCCAAATGTTGCGTTGCCGTAACTTAAAAGGCAAATAATAATAAAGAAAATGAAAAACAAAACTTACTGTAAGAAAATTTTAAAATCTTTAGGATTGACGTCAATCAAAGTTAAAATATTTTTAGTTTCACCCTCAGCATTGTAAATCATATCACGGAACACTTCACTACATGCCGATAACAATAAGCTATGGGTCTGAAAAGTTTCATTTTCTTGTCCGACGATTATTTTGATATCGCACAGATTTTTTGATTTTATTAAGTCTATAATTTGTTCTTTAAAAGACGAATTCTTCGCTTGACGAGACATCTGTTAAAAGAAAAGTAATTTTAATTAGCCTGACATTATTTCAGTTAGAGAAACCAGAAGTCACGTTATTTCAATTCAAAAAATTTCCTCTATTAATTTTAAGGCGGAGAGAATATATTTTAAATTAAATAAATTAAAAATACGATTAAAAATTATTGCAGAAATAATTGCTTTAAAAATGTTTGAGTGTGCCGATGTTGTGGACTTCCAATAACTATGTAGGGCCTATAAAGAAATAAGACGAATATAGTATATCTTAATTAGAATAAATGTAAAGAAGCTGGATTGAAGAAAAGGAGATCAAGTGCCAAATCAAAAGAATGATTGAGAAAATACAAGTGATAAAACGAAATCGTGTGATAAATTGATTTCTCCTAACGTGCCATTTTGGGCACGTGTGCCTTAGGTTTGCCACCCTTGGACCAGGCTTGATTTGTTATTTAATTTCATTATTAAAAATATAATAAAAATACCTAGAAATCCCAATTTAATCATTTATTACAATCAACTACTAGCATTTCTCTTTCATGTAAGTGAATAAATTTAATCACATTCTTGTGGTATTAATGATTAAACTTTATTCTATAGTTTAATAATTAGGGATTTAGCAAAATACACATCACATGAAAAAAGTCCTCGAACTGAAAGCTTAATAGTTTAATATTAAGAGTTACCCTTCGAAAATGGCCGAAAATTTCTAAGAATTTTTTTGGGGAGATATCAAGCCCGTCCCTCATCACTCAGCCGCTTCGTTGGGGGCCTGGCCAAATCCTAGAATTTATATTGATAAGAAAAAGGTCGTCTCAGTGCATATATGTAGAAGAGAGAGAAAAAATTAGGCTACATTGTAGTCACATTAAGTACTTTAAACTCATTGACCCAACCTTTAGCGTTGTCTCTAATTCTAATTTCAGGGACAGAATTTTTTGTACGTTAAATCCGAAGTATGTAAAATAAGAATTCGTTAAATCGAGAGCATACTACAGTATATATAATAAAGATTTAAAAATATACTATTCTGACACAACAAACTATATAAAAATAATTATTATTAGCTTACTTACTCTGTAGTTTTAAAGTAGTAGTTTCACCTTGATCAGAGCTATTATTATACAGAGGATAATAAATTCGCTTTTATTGAAGACGACGCCAAATTAAAACTGTAACGTTTCATTTATGATTAACTTATTTATTTGCTTTTGTTTCTGAACATACATTTTGATTATTAGAAATATAACTATTAATGATTAAAACCTTCCATTTAAAATGGCATCATAATTGATACAAAGGTAATTATAGACTACTGTATATAAATTTTCTCAAAATTATTTGTAGTTGTTGAGGAAAATCATTTATATTAACTTAAAGTACACATTTTAATTATTTTTTGTTTTATTTAAAAAAAAACGGGAATTTTTTTATTGTTTCGAAACATCACATTATGATTTTAATTAGTTTTTTGAAATAGATAAAAATATATAATTTACTACTTTAATTATCTACGTTTAATAACTACAAACACTAACAAAAATTAGAATCAATAAAAGCGTTATTTCGTAAAATCAGAATAATTACAATAGATTATAAATTTAGATTGATTTGAAAAATAAAAATTGGTTGGTTTAATGGGATTAGGTAATGCACGGGAGGCTTTCTGTGCAAAACTGTCTCCTATTTAGGTGTCACTAACATAGAGAAAACCCGAGAAACCACGTGGCCAGCCCATGTGGAACAAATCTACGACTAGTGTTTAGTGGTTTTATCCATTCGGCCAACAATGGGCTGCCAGCGTTTAATAAATTTATTGCTTTATTAATTAAAATAAAGAATAAAAACTGAAAATTTATGGTAAAAATGCTAAAATATAAACATATTGTAAAGAAATAATAATGGGCAATCTTTCCATCACTGGTATGCCAGAGATTTCTCAATCCATGGCATACCAGCTAAAACCATAGAGGAGGCCATAAAATTTCATAAAATAACTTTAAAATGGCAAACATTTCTCCACGTTTTAATATTATCTGTACATTTTTTATTATATAAAAAATTACAGACCTTTAACATCACTTTTCGTTTACATACAAAGCATATTTCACGTAATCTTGTGGATGAGCAAACTAAAATTATGAATGTGCCAATAACTCAATGGATTGAAAACCACTGCGGAAACCACTCTTATCGTTGTAAAAGTATCTGAGATAGAGCTTCATATAGAAAAATTTGTGTTAAAATTTAAAAAAAAATTGTTAGATATAATATTTTTATATATTTATTATCTGATACAATGCTTCGACTCATTTTTTACGGTAGGATATTAGAAATTGAAATTCATTTAAATGCTGTATAAATATAACAATAATAATAGGTAAATTAAAAAGTATTCTAAAAATTATTTTCCATTTCTATTCCTTTATTTACACGCAAACTTTTCACAGAATTTACAAAACAGATTAAACATTATAGAATTGATTGCGTTCGTGCAATTCTATGAAGTTAAATCATTTGTTTTGTAAACATTAACCTTATATTTAAATTTAGAAATGTTTATTGTACAATATTTTTACTAAATAAAAGGAAAAGATACGAAGATTTTTATTAGTTTGTAATAAATAAATTATAATTTAGCATGTTTTTATTTCAAAAGCAAAAAAAAAAATAAACCAACAACGAGTTGCTCAACTTTCATGGCAACATTTAATTGGTGGTGCATCTGTTATCATATTATATGTTTTAAATTTTTATATTTTAACTATTATAGAATGGCAAAAAGCTTAATTTTGAGAGCAGGGATTAGTTTTATTAAAACTTGTAAATGCTAATAACAAATAAAATCGTCATTAAGTCCGAATCTAATGAAGATACTCATGAACCCCATTATCTCCCCATCCTCTCTATCTTTAACCACCAAAATTTAATAGCATTAAGGCCTCTAATACATAAACCTCTCTACACAATTTCAGAAATTTTTGACAAAAAGTACAGGAGTTATTAAGCTTCAAAGGTGGTGGACAGAAATCGTCTTCCCATACACATGTAAATTTAGAAGGTAAATTATTTTTACAAAAATAATTATCGCAATAAGAGTATCAAGTTTAAAATTAAAAAGAAATTTTATAATTCTATACTCTAGTATCAGATTTTATTAGTTAAACTATATAAATGAAATTAAATTAAGCGATAAATTCTATATAAAACTTATATTCTTATATTTTAAATTATAATAGTGTTTAGAATAAAATGAAGTCATTTCTTTACGTATTTACGCTTTGCTATTTTTGTTGTTGTCAAGCCAAGATCTATGAAAGATGCCAATTAGCTCGGGAATTGATGTACAGATTTGGTTTTAATCGAAGTGTACTTGGGCATTGTAAGTTTGTATTTTAATATTTAAACTTAGTTCTAAGCAATTTTTTTTTCAGATTTTTGAAGCTTGTATACAGTAATCCTTAAATAGGGCCACTTTCCCGTAGAAAGTCCTCTTCGGTTACCTTCAGGACCAAGATCGCCTTATCTCCCATTAATTCAATTCATAATTTCATTAATACATAAAATTTAAATAATATTTTTTCAGTTTTAATGTATGTTAATTGATATAGCCTATTTATACATTATTATTGTAATAGGGATGTGTATTATAAAGCATGGAAGTGGATATAATACATCATCTGTAATTGGGCCATATCCCGATGGAAGTTATGATCACGGACTGTTTTCGGTAAATCAAAACAATAATATAATTATTTTCACATAAAATTTATAAATTATCTATGATATGAATAAAATATAACTAGAATTTTGAAGTAATAAAAAGTGTTTAAAACCGCTCGCTTATTTATTTCCTTGCAGATAAACGATCGGTGTTGGTGTTCACCACCAGACGATAGTGTTTTATGTCAAGTTAGATGTGAAGGTAACCTTTAAATAGACTACGAGGAGATATATATAGTGTGCATATGATACATATAGGCTATACATATTTAATCTTTTCAGATCTTCGTACAGATGATATCACGAAAGCGGTAAAATGTGCGAGATTCATGTTTTCATTTCGATCTTTTAATATGTGGTAAGTTACATAAAATAACAATTGATATATTGATTTAAATGTAATCAACTAAATGCACCTTTAAATATATTTAAAAGGGAAACTTGGTTAAACAACTGTCGAAACAAAGATGTTGATGTTTATATTCGAGATTGCAACTTGAGACGACCACGCAACTGATTTTAATAACATACAAATCAAAATAAACGTTATATTCTTTTACATTTTTCTTTATAAATTTCGTTACGAATCAATTAAAAAATTAACTCCAAAATGTCTTGTGTTGTTTATTTTATTAATACAGTAAAATAATCTTGATTAGCTTCGTAAACAGCCAACATTACGGGATCGATCAGAGACAGATGAGATATCACCTAATATTTCTGTACGAGTAAAAATGATTTTTACATTTTTGGACTCGAGGGACCTTGATACGTCGAGAAATGCAAAAAAAATTCGGGAGTAATTTCTGTATGTATGAATGTTAGTGTGTTTGTGTGTGTATAGGGGAGACGATTTCTGTTTACCAACCTTTGAAGCTTAATAACTCCTGTGCTTTTTATCGAAAACTTCTGAAATTCTGTAGGGAGGCTTGTGTATTAGGGACATTGATGCTATTAAATTTTGGTGGTTAAAGATGGAGGGGGAGGGGAGATAATGGGAGTCATGAGTATCTCCATTAGGTTCGGACTTAATGACGATTTTACTCGTTCATAGCGTTTACAAATTTTTTTTTTATAAAACTAATACCTGTCCTTAAAATTAAAGTTTTTTTTTGCCATTTAATAATAGTTAAAATATAAAAATTTTTAAAAATAAAATATAACAGATAGCGCCAGCAGAATTTTAAATCTTGCCGGAAAAGATGAGCAACTCATTGCTGGTTTTTGTTACATTCACTCAGAATCCGACAAATTTTTCTTACTTATTGTCATTGGCCTGATCCCCCAAATATACAGGGTGGCTTATAGATAGGAGGACAGTAAGCAATTAGTTATAGGTAGAGCGTTAAGATAATACATTTTTATTAGTGATTGCATGGCGTAATTTTATATGTAATTTCATATATACTACTAAAATTACATATTTCATATCTGACATCATTGATGGTGGCCTTCACTTTTGCTCGTTTGACATAAAAAGAGAAATTTATTTCAAATGATTGCACAATAAAACCTGTTAGAAAATTTTTTATTTATTAAAATTATTATCGAATTAAGTAATATTTTCAAATATGTTTATTCTTAATTTCCTCCCTATAGGCACTAAGAGAATTTTTTTAAAACTTATTCAGGATTCTAATTACACCTTACAATTTATTACATATTCCAAAGGTTGTTGCTTCTTCACATATTATATTTAAAAAAAAAAAGTAAAATTTGAAGCATTTGATTATTATTATTGAGGGTAAAACACATTCTACTAATAAAAAATTGTATAAAGTTAAATTTTAAGAATTTATTTTTCAGAATTTCCAAGCCAAGTAGTCTTGACTATCACATCATGTCCTGCAAGTTTGTGTCACTTGTATTTATGTGATAGATTTATTTATTGTCTGCTTTACATATTAAGTTTAAATAAATGGTATATAAATACAATAGAAAACAAGTACAGAATCAGTTAAGATGAAGTTTCTACTGGTTTTCGTTGCACTTTTGCAGACGTATTGTCAAGCAAAGATCTACGACAGATGCGAATTAGCTCGAGAATTGTTACATAGATTCCATTTTAGTCGGAAGACAATTGGACATTGTAAGTTCATATAATTTTAAATATAAATAGCTAAATAATTAATGTATAATCAAGCTTTTAATCTAATTAATTAAATGTTTGTTTTTAATTATAGGGATCTGTTTAGTAGAACACGAAAGTTCTTACAATACAGCAGGAAAAGGAGGACCAAACTGGGATGGTAGCTATGATCACGGACTCTTTCAGGTATTTCTATATTCATGAGCTTATTGGTATATTTCGGTTAAGAGGAGGCCGAATTGTCCAAAATTTTACACAAATAAAATTAAATAAATAAACTTGAAGATTTTTTCTGTACGTGTGTATGTTAGTGTGTGTGGGTAGGGGACAGGATTTTGTTCACCCTGTTTGAAGCTTTAATAACTCCTGTATCTTTTGTCAAAATTTTCTGAAATTTTGCAGGGAGATTTGTGTATTAGGAGAATTGATGCTATTAAATTTTGGTGGTTAAAAGTCGAGGGGTGGGGAAATAGAAGAGGTCGTGTGTCATATCTCGAGTAGAGTAGAACTTAATGAAGATTTTATTCGCTAACCGTTTTACTTTTCCAGTATGATTTTTTGTTTCTGCTTTGCCCGAATTTTACCTTTGTTTTTCCTGAATCTGAGGGTAGTTGCCTATTTCTCCTTATTTGTATGACTGTATCTATATTACAAAATAATATAGTAAGACCTACAAAAAACAATACGCACTACAAACTATTGGGTTGTTCGGAAAGTAAGTTCGTTTTTTTCCGTGGAAAATACGCAATATTCTTATGATAAATAAATATTTTATTGAATTATATGTTGACCATTTTGGTCAAATACCTGTTGTCATAGTTTCTGGTAGTAGCACGATTTCACATTCATAAAAGTTTTGATCGTTGCTTACAAAAAACCGATCCAAGTGATTTTTGACATTGTCATTTCAAGTAAATGTCTTACAGTTAAAAAAAATTGTACCGACCGGAACAAGTAATAATCTGAGTGTGCTCGACCTGGCGAATACGGTTGGTGTGATAGCACGTCCCATCTAAGTTATAACAGTTTTTGACGAGTTAGCAAACTTGTGTGAAATTTGACATTATTGTGGTAAAACACTATAGCTGTTTTTTTTTTATCAATTCTGGCTGGTTTTTTCTGTTTGATGATATTACGCAATTTGTTTAGTCGAATGCAGTACACTTTCGAATCAATTGTTAAATTGTCTGATAAAAGCTCCAAAAAAAATTTCTTTAATATCCCACCAAATAGAGCATTTCTCTTTAAGAACTCGTGGAATTCATATATCGAGCTTTGAAACGAAACCAATTTGTTTCAAGTACTCATAAACAGTTCAATTTGACAAATTTAATCTCTTAGTGATTTCACGTGTTGTTATTCCGCAGTTTGCTTCAATCGGTACTTTTATTTTGTTTTCATTGGCTTCAATTGGCCATCCATAACGTGGTGCATCTTCAATACTGAAATTGCGAGAACGAAATTTTGTAAACCAGTTTTGGCACTGTCGTTCTGTCAACACATCTCCACCATACATGTCACACGATTTTTTTCTTGCTTGAACGGCATTTTTATTTTTTTGGTAATAAAAAAGCAAAATATGCCGAAGATGCTGCTTTCGATCTTCCATATTTGATGGGACACAAAAAATAAACAATTGCACGAAATCAAACAAATTTTTTTACAAATAAGCCATAAAATGCTAGCTGTCAAAATATATAATGATAATACGGTTTAAAACGAAAATGGCGGGAAAAATACCACTAATCCGTCTAGTGGTAAAAAAACGAACTTACTTTCCGAACAACCCAATATATTAAGTTAGTTATATGTTTAGTTGTTTAATTCACAATGTTACTAAATTATAAAAATACGAATTATTAATATTTAATTGATAATATTTTCTTAAAATAAGAAATTGTTTTGTTTTATTTTGATGTAGATAAACGATCGTTATTGGTGCTCACCTTCTCATCACGTTAATGCATGTAATGTTAGATGCTCAGGTGAATGAATTCTAGTTGGGTTCAACAAATTAACCTAAACCATAGCATTTAATGTGTGTTAATTTATAAATTTTAGATCTTCGAACTGATGATATATCGACAGCAGTGAAATGTGCGAAGAAAATTTTTGAAGTACATAATTTCTATGCCTGGTAAGCTAGATTTTTATAATAAAAATGCCATTTAATATTAGGCGCTCATTCTTTTCTTTATATTTTGAAGGGTTGCTTGGAAGAATCGATGCCAAAATACAGACGTTTCTCGGTACGTCCGTGACTGTCATTTGTAGAACGAATAAAGGAATATAAATTCTAATTTTATACTTCAGGCATTTTAATAAAAAATAAATTTCCTGTCTCCTTGTCACCATTCCTTACATTGCCAATGTTTTTGGGTTGATGATAATATACTAGTAATGTTATCTCCATATAAGAATTTAATGATAAGTGTTACTTCTGCACCTGGTTGTAAAAATTATACTTTAAGGCATAAAAATAAATTTGATTATGCTTCTTGCTTTTATATGAACACTAAGAAACTACATCTCTGTCCGTGTTCATTTATGAAAATTTTATTAATTTTAATTCGTAGGAAATTGAAGTGCAATATGTAAAGTCATAAGTTATAAAAATATACAATTGTATATTATAAAATATGTTTAAAATATTTCAATTTCTTAATTTTATATATCTTTAATAAATCGTCCAAATTGATTTTAATTTGATATTTTAGACCATTTTAATAATGGGAAATGTCCAAAATTGTTGCAATCTGGTGAGTCTATTGTTATAAAAAAACAAGTAAAATTTTCATCAGCGCTCAATAAAATAAAACGGGAATCTCAAAAATGAATGAATGGAAGAGGACCATGCAAGATCTTCTGTTGGAAATCAACAGTTACATTACCATACACGAAGGAAGCTTTTCTAAATGGGACACTAAGAATGGTGAAGAGCTAGATATGGATGATTACGTTCAGGAGTTATTCGGTTTGGTTCAAGTTTTGTTAACCCAATTGACAATGAACAATAGCACAGATGCAGAAGAAAAGAATGAAAAGAAAGATTTTCTAAAGAACTTAACAGAATACGAGCTCGAATTCCAGAAATTAAATAGTTTAGTTCAGGAATTCAAAAAAAATTTTGAGAAACGAGCAATAATGCTCAAGAATTCTGCTGATAACATGGCCGAGGTGAGAGAAATTAACGAGAAATTCTTATCGAGTGCTGTACAGAAATATCAAAACATGAAAGAAGAAAGAGAAAAAATGAAACTGAAGCTGATAGATGTAGAAAAAGCTCATAAATCGATCGTTCACGAATTATCGAACATAGCAGATGTAATTGAAGAATTGAGTGGAACCATATCGAATCTTCAGGAGTTAGGAGAAACTCGCTTAATTTTCAATGAAGAAAAGGGTGATGCAACTTCCATCCCAGAAGAAAAGATAGGATCGGATTTCGAGAGTTCATCAGAAGACAATACATTTTTCGAATCGAAAGAAGTAATGAATAAAAACTCCGATCATCAGGAAGAAATAGCAATTATAGACGTTTAAGTAATTTTTTCTCGTTTTTAAAAAATCAAAATCCGTCACAAAATATTTAACTATTTGACAAAATTAAATTGTAAAAATAACTAAAATTTCATAAAATATTTTAAAAATTAAACCATAAATTGTTTCAGTTAATCATTTTTACTTTGTAATATTTTGAACCGAAACTGTACATAAACTAATTTCAAATATTATTATAATAAAGGATTTTGATAAACTAGTAAGTAAAACAGAATTTAAAATTGTTTTTTTTTTCAATTGGATTAGACTGGATTGATGGAATAAGGGTTCTGGGCGATCTGTCTGGAAGGCTTGCCTTCCGGGAGGGACTTTCAATGTAAAAATGGTCCCTATTTAGTTATTAGACAAAGAAATCTTGGAAAAATTCTCATAGGTAGCCCGTTGGTTAGGTATTCAGTAAATTTATCCACTCGAGTACTGGAAGACACGTTTGCTAATTGAAATTGAGTTTACACATTGCACACAACGTTTGCCCGGCCGATTGTCTCCAAATGTTTCGTTACATATCAAACACGCCACATCATTTTCATTAGCAAGTTTCATGGTATGCTAGTTTACTTGGTTGGCTTATAGGTTTAAACCATTGAACACTGCTAGTTGGCCGGGGTTTATGTAGTCCCTATTTTAGGGGGTTTGGACCCTATTTAGTTACAAGGTATTCCTTAGGACGAATTTATAAATCTAAAGTGAGGTTAAATAGAGGTCCGTTAAATCGAGGGCTACAGTATGAAGATATTGTAACAAAGAAAAGTTAACAATTTATTGTAATTTTAAATAGAAATCAAAATTATTAACTAAAATAAAATTATATTAAAATATATTAGAATTATTGAAATGAATCAGTAAGTCATATACAGTGAAAGCAAAGTATAAATTTTGTTTTTAAATGCTGTCTCTCTTATTTTACTAATAAAATTAATATAGGCCTACGTTGAAACAGGGAGGTTTTATTTCTTTATAAATTCAGGTGCAGAGAATTATAACACCTACAGCTATATTTTTATTCTCTAATAAACTCTATAAAGTGACTAAGAGCTATGAAAAAATCGTAATTCTACGCCTCTTCTATTTAAGTGAATCGTTAAATTGGTGAAAAATTATTAACCAAAGATAAAAACAAACACCAAATGTTACTTAACGTTGCTAAAAAGGTTGCATATATTCAGACATTTTAATTTATCCTTATAAAATGAGAAAAAAGCTTTTAAGCACTTATCTTACATACATTATGACTATTAATTAAGTTATAAATCATTTTAAATATTTATTTTATTACAAATAAATGAAGTATTATTTTTTATACATCGTTTAGCTGTTTGTTGTTTAAAGTTTAGTAAGTAGTATGCAATGCTTAAAATAATAAGAATTTCATGCGTGATAAACACTAGAAATGAATAAGTTTGTGTAAATAGTGTATACTTTAGGTCAAATTGACGTCATTATCACACTTTCTCATAAGAAAACTGTGTGAATAATATCAAATTGACGTAATAGTGTACATTATTCGAACAAAACAAATGCACCAGGATTTATTTCTGAATGAAAGAAAAATTTTATTGGCCAGATTTTTCGAGGTTGCTGTAGGGATTGGTGGTGATGATGGGCTTCCCTATAATATATATCACCTCAGTGCATTAATATATATATATATATAATGGTGGGGTAATGTCACCCTTAAAACGTCATTAAAATGCATTGTTTTCGGGACCAGGTATATCCTCAAAGTTTGTCTTTTATCTTAAATAAAAGAGTTTAAAAAAGAAAGTGGACAATTCAAATAGTGAAACATTCAATCTACAGTTTACTTGGTAAATTATTTGTGAATTCATAGAAATGACTTATAGACTTCGGTATAATCATTAAACTGATAACCTAGTTATAACTTACAATTAATTCTTTGTATTGACTTTGTGATGCAATTAAAATTCCAAAAATCGTTCTATTTTACCACAGTTTGTTTTTACAGTTTTAATTTTAAATTAAAAGAATTTAAAAAACCAACACAAAATTTTATATTTTTATTTTACTGTAGAGAACCCATCAGTAGCCGAGTGGATAAAACCACTAAACAACGGCGGGGTCGTGGGTTCGACTTCCGACCAACACGTTGGCCACGTGGAGTTTTCCGGCTTTTCCTCACGTGTCTAACTCTTAGACAGGGCCTAGTTTTTCGTAAAAGTCCTCTCGGAAGGCCCTTTCCTCTTTACAGATCGCCGGTATGTCGCCTTATCCAATCAATCCAATTTTAGTTTAGAAAAATTTAAAGTTAAATACATCGATGAAATGTTTAATTTTCTATAAACTTTAAAATGACCGCTTCTGAAAGTATTATTAGAAAAAATAAGAAAGCATCTTCTTGTTTCAAACAGATAATTTGACGTTATAAGATACTATTAACGAGGGGAAGACATTAAAACTGAAGGTCAAATCTCCGACCTTCATATTTAACTTATCCGATCTGATATGGGAAAATTGTTGGCGGTATACAACTGTCGAATATATCATTTATTTCGATTTAATGCTTCTCACTTCGTTACGGCCATAAATGAGATTATTACCGAAGGTCAAACTATATTGTGTTACTACCTGGTCAGTGTAGTCTTATAGATGTCGAATTACAGTAATATATATATTAGAAAGAAATTCCATCTTACATAAAAACTACAGCATTAAATTACTAAATATCGACGATATTCTAGAATAATATTGACAATTTAAACGTTATTTTTAAAAGTACTTCAAATTAAATTACCTTCAAATGTACACAAAAAACATTTTGTAATTTTAACGTTATCGTAATAAATAAACAAAAGAAAATATAAAATAAAACGTACAGCACGAGTAATTCCAAGTAAATTTCAAACTAAATAAAATGTAAATGTAAATAGATTATTATTCTAATTTTATCGTCATAATAAATATGTTTTAGATAGTATTATATTGTCATATCTCATCCAACCTGGAACAGATGTTGGCTTATTTTCACATTAAATTAGATAATATAACAGATAGTTTACTATATAAAGCCAGGTATTGTTAATGATAACGAATCAGAGACAATGAGGTTGTTAATTCTCGTCGTGTTATCACTTTTTTGTTGTGGGCAAGCTAAGATCTACGATAGATGCGAATTGGCTAAAGAATTGATTAACAGATTCGGTTTCGATCGTGGCACAATAGCACATTGTAAGTGTATTTCTATCAATTTATTATTATTAACATTTAATTAAATAATAAAGATTTAATAACATTTCGCGTTTATTTTATCCAGGAAAAGTGTCTAAATAAAAAATTTAATTTGAATTCGATTTTCGTGCATTTAGGCCTCAGTCTCAGGACAAAATTTCTATGAAAATTTGATAATTTAATGTTTGTATATTACGTTTAATAAAATTACATGATTTTTCGATAAAAATTCTTATTTGGGGGTCTAATAATTACTTCTTCCCGAGGCCCCGCAAGCCTCCAGCCGGTCCTGATGAAAAGAATTTAATATAAATTTATTATTATTTTTTTTTTTATAGGGATTTGTTTGGTAGAACACGAAAGTTCGTACAATACTGCAGCTAAAGGTGGACCAAATTCTGACGGAAGTTACGATCATGGACTCTTTCAAGTAAATTTGAATGCATAATTTAAGTGTTGTCTCTAAATTAAACTTAAGTTTAATGAATGATATAATATACAATTAATTACTATATATAATTATTACAATAGATTTATAAAATCACAATATATAATTAATTCGTCAAGGGACGTCACAAACAACGTGACAACACCTGATGAATTAATTTAAGCGCCGCCTGCCTATTTTTAATTTTGTTTTTAATAAATTTTCTTCACATTATTTTAAATAACGGTAATTTCACTTTGTTTTACCTACTAATATTCTTAATTAAATATTTAAAATATTATTTATAGTTATTTAATAATTTTAAAACAAGAGTTTTTATACGTAAGTTGGAACACACGTGTGAGCGATGCCAAAACGTCAGGGTTGGTCTGTCGGGGTGCTCAAAGTCTAATGTTTTAAATCCAAAACTGATAGAAATGATAAAGTATTTTATTTTATGTTAATAAAATCCGGAAAACTCCACGTTGTCAGGCGTTGGCGAAGTTCGAATCTACGGCCACTGGTGAACACCTAAATGTATTTTTAGGAACATTAAACAAATAAATGATTTAAAGTATGTTAAACTCAAATACTTTATGTGGATTTAAATTGAAATAATGCTAACTGCATTTATAAATATTTCGATAGTTCTATGTATTAGCGTAAAAATATTTTCATCAGAATCAAACAGTGGACTACATAACTTAAAGTCCATATGTACGTACTTTGACGGCCGGATGGCCGAGCGGTCAAGATGGCAGCCCACCGCCCTGGGGGACCCGGGATCAAAACCGGACGGGTCAAGGAATCCCAGAAATTTTTCGGGGGTTGGTCCATTCGGATATGTCGGACCCCGTCCTTCACCACCCGGCCGTCCCATTGTGGCCCCTGGCCGAACCCATAATGGGCCTGCTAAAATGGGCCTGCACCCTGTGGTCCCTGTTAGTGCCCACAGGGTGGAAAAAATATATAAAAATAGTCCGTATGTACTCTACGTATTCCATGTATTTGTTATTTAAGGGTTTTGTTTAATATCAATTGCTTTGTTTCCCGTTTTTGTTTGTATGTTTTAACTGTATAGGAATTAACTTAAAAATAAACATTTTTGTTATTTTATGTACAGTGGTGGAGTGAATAAACACAAAGAACATTGATAGATAGGGTCGTGGCTTCGCTTTTGATCGACAGGTTTGTCACGTGGAAGTTTGCGGTTTTTCCCTCACGTGTCTAAGTAGGGGTCAGTTTTCCATAAAAGTCTTTCCGAGAGGCACTTACCCTTGGCATATCGAATGATGCATTGCTTTATTCTATTAATCCAAACCAATTCTAGGATTCCAACTCTTGAGGAAAACAATAATGGCAAATTATTCAATAATAATAGAACGATTCATAAACCAAAAATATATATTTAATTGGTTCGTTAATTGTCTTCTATTAATATAATAACTATTTAATACATTGTAAATCTATCGTAGGGTATGTGACTTATTAGATTTTCTGTAACTTTAGATAAATGATCGTTACTGGTGTGCACCTCCGGATGATATTAACGAATGCGGAGTTCGATGTGAGGGTAAATATTTTAAATAAATTTAATCTTGTTTGCATTGAAATATCAAAAATTAATTTGTTATTCTGTTTCTTATATATCAGAACTTCGTAGCGATGATATTGCAGCATCCGTAAAATGCGCGAAAAAAATTTTCAGAATTCATAGTTTTGAAGCCTGGTAAGTTTTATTACTTGAAATAAAGTTTAATAATTAAAGTATTTTGTTCTTAATTTTCGATTTTTATTTTTAAGGAATGCTTGGAAAAATCGATGTCGAAATGCAAATACGTCCAAGTATATCGAAGGCTGCAATTTGTAGAAATGGACGATGAAATTTGTGTGAAAAACATTTTTATTATTTTGCTTTTGAAAATTTTTAAAATATGAAAGTCATGATTTTGTAAATTTATATTGATATAAATAATAATATCAATATGGCAATATTATTTTAATAGTAATTTAAGGTATAAAAACGAAGCAAAGTCTACTACTAGTAATGATAATCGGAAATAATTGAAATTAAATTATTGTATAATTTTTTCTAATCCAAATTTCATTACTTTTTAATTAAACTCTTTGCACCTATATGGAATTAGTATGAGATGTTTATGGTCCTCACCATATATGGTTTAATCCTTAATGATTCCTTTTCTTAGTTAGGGTTTGAGTATTACTCTAAGAAAAGCTTCAAGTAAATCTGAATATACGTGTTTGCTTTTTACAAGTTTAATGTATAAAACGAAAATGATTATACAGATATTATATTACACTGTATATTAGTAAGAAATTTTTCAATTTTTCTTTTTATCTCTCTGGGAACAAAACTTCTTTTATAACATACAACTGTGTTGTTTTTATTCTTTCATAATTGTTTATAAACTAAATAACTATACAAATTACTATCATTGATTTGGAATTTTTTGCAATTTATTTGAAGATTTTCAGTTAATTTTTGTCACTTCATGGTTTTTGAGTTACCGGTATGTGCTAATTTCAAGTAGACAATGACAATAAAAAAGAAAGAAATTATATTTATAAAGCTAAATATGACCATAAAAACTTGTAGTAGGACATGAAATAAGAACCGTAATATTAAATATTTTATATAAAACTTCGTTAAAATTTTTCGAAAACTGCCTTTTCTAATGAAACAAATAATTAGATTTAATTTGGTATTTAGGAATTTTATGACTCTTGAAAACATTATTAATTACATTTGAATCTAACCAGGATCCTTGTGATTTTACAAAATAATTTGAATTGCATTTTCATTTCTCATTTTGTTAACTATGATGATCAGTAAACTCAACTATCGTTATTAAATATTTCTTTACTGGATTAAGTTTGTCGTGGATATTATAGAAGTTGACAAAGACATGAAATATAGTCTGTCAACTTTTTCAACAGATATAAACAATACAAAGACGTCCCCTTTGAGCTTTTATCCCCCCATTTCCATCGTATTTTCGGCCATCTTTACGATAAGATGCCACAAGGTAGTGAGAGATTGATCGACATGAAAATTTCTTGACGTTCTTCACCAACACTCGAACCTCGAGTTTGGATCAAGTCTTGGATGGATCCAAACTCGGTTATTTTTTACATTAAAACCTAATAGTAAAATATATATATATTTTTTATTACATTAATAAATGTAAACTTAATAATGTGTGATATTATTAATTTTTGTCTCGTTTATTTCCTATAATAGTCATAAGCATTTTAAATACTTACATTACGTATATAAAATGTCATCACACTAAGTTTTAATATTTAGTGTGGTGGTAATTAGTGTTCTACCAAACGAGCTGAGCTACGGCTCAGATTTCAGCTGGAGTCCAGAATTGTATATCGGCTCACGGCTCAGCTTGAGATAAATTTCTTCACCTTATGCTTATGCGATCTATGGACCGCGACAGTATTTTATTTTAATTGCTGCTTTTGCTTCTTTTCTGCTCTAATGCAGTATCATCAGTATCAACTCTGGTCCGAATTCAAGCTCAGCTCGGCATTTCCAAATAGCAAAGCTGAGCTAAATTTTGCAAAACTCTAGATGTAACGATTAATGTAGTTAAATAAAACGATGAATATACTATTTCAGGAGTAGTCAACCTGGTCCCTACGGTAGGCATTCCAGCTTTCATGGTTGGCGGTAGGAATTCTTTCCAATACTGAAGCACTTTCCTTTTTTCAAATTTCTGAAAATATAATATTTGTATCGCCCGCGCATAAGTTTAGTTCACGTTACGTAAGTGAAACTAAATGGCGCTACCACCGCCTAGCATTAGATTGGCCATAGTCAGTAATTTATCTCTGGTCAGTACGTAGTTACATTTGTGAGAGTAAGCACGTGCCTACAGCTTCAAACAAAGCGAATATAAACCATTGATCCTTCGTGGTAATAATTTCTTTACGAAATGCGCCTTTCTGTTTCTACGTGACAATTTATTTTGCCCGAAAAACTGTCAGTAAAGAGTGAATTAAATAATTTTTTCCCTACTTAGTAACAAATGAGTCATTAATAACTAATGATCTGAAAAAAGTAAAATATGAAGGACAAGATGACTCAAAGATACGGAAACGACCCCAGGTCGTTTTCAGTTATCTGATGAGGTAAAAACAGCATCACAGGAAACCTGTAGTTGAAAATATGGCTTACAGTAAAGCTTCCACAAGCTGTACAAGCGCTGTATCGTCGACCAAGAGGATTAGTTTGAAGGTGATAGTGCGTTGAAAGCGTTGAAGGTGTTTTAAGCTGTTGAAAGCAAGGAACTATAAGCCGTCCTTGAACTTTTGGATCCCACCATGTAGATATACAATAGAAATGACGTGTTTACTTTTTATTCTGTATTTTTGCGGTATGATGAAAACATTTCCAGTTTTGCAGAATGTCGCCGCATGTGTGTATTGTTTCTGATACTGTGTTACTAAATTTAGTGAATGTAATAATTAATGTAACCATTTTTCATATTATAATATGTGAAATTTTCAATTCATTATTAAAACACTAATGAAGAATTTTTATATACGCATATTAAAATATATTTAATGTTGCAAAACATGGTTTTTAATACCATCGTTTTATAAGTTCGAAAAATCAATTAAGCTGAAATTTCAGGTATCCAGATATAAAAACACGTGTTTCAAATGAAAAAGCAATTTATAGTTTAATTGAATAATTTTAATGTCGTTCTGCCATATTCGAGACTACAATATTGGAATTTTTGAATTTTTTTACTCCAGATATTACGAAAATGAAATATTTCGTATAACAGGTCTATATATCATTGTAATTAGGATTTTTTTATTTCAGAATTTATCAGTAACAGCAGTAAGCTATTCTGCTGTTAAAATCGTATTGGCAGTGTACTTCCTTTTCTCTTCTGTCTAACACATGGTTTAACACATGGTTTAACACGTCTAGAATAAAGTTTCTAATTCGTTTTAAATGGGAAAATAAATCATTCTCAAGAAGGATGTTAAATCGCTCAATAGATTTCATTATCTTTTTCGTATATTTCAGAGCTTATACATAATAAGAAGTCGTTTCCTAGTTCTTATTATGTATGAGCTTTTATCTGTAAAATTCAGACACTTTAATTTAACAAGAGTTTAATTTTATTAAAAGCTGTTACCCGCGACTTCGCCCGCGGAGGTTTTGCAAGCAAACCCCATTTATATTCAGTATTTCAACAACCATAGTAATTGTTATATAACACCTACCGCTGAAAATGATGAGAATTACTCAAAATCAAACGAACTATTTTTAATTTGATCAATTTTCTGGAACGTTTACAATCCTTCTATAATCGAACCAATGTGCGTGCAATAACAAATTCGAATTTAAAACGGTTTGAACATTTGGTTAAAAAATCGAAATATATAAATACATTTATAACAATGTCTGAAATGTTATCAATTTAATACACCCAAGAACTCAATGAAGACTAAACGTAATTGAAAACAAAAATCGCATCTAAAATAGTACAGTAGAAGCCGTTCTTCCGGTTAAGCCTTAATGCTCTCCCTCTTCTCCCCGCTGGAGAATATCGAAAAATCCCTTTTTTTGTGTGCATTTTCATGACGTACCCAACTGTGTACCAAATTTTACCTCTTTAGGTTCAGCGGTTTGCTCTGGGCGATGATGAATCAGTGAGTCATTCAGTCAGTCAGGACAAGCAATTTTATATATATAGATTATTAGAAAAAAGGGGTAGATAAAATTAGATACTATACTTCGAGTCTTCGAGTATGTTGCTTTACTATAATGCAACATACTGTATAGACATTTGGCATTCTGTGCGAGGTGTTTACCCCTTCTGTCGCATTGTTTTTTCTTGCCGACACCTCACCAGACTTTGAAGGCTGTTCTGTATATACGCGATATATTCAATTGCACTATCTATTCCTGTTGTAATTATATCAATTGTATCCAATATTATCTGTATTTGTATTGCTGCTCTGATTGTGCTTTGCGGCATCAGGCTATGTACTTTGTACGTTTTAATAAAAAAATCTGAATATGTATAAATATAGACTCTACATAAAGCTTTTCACTCTGACAAGTTAGCAGGAAAGGTTTTCAGATAATATTTACCTGATTTAAGTAAGTAATTTTCATTAAAAAAGAGCAATTCTTTATATCTATTTTAACCAGTCGATTAACCTTTATTACTTTATTCTATTTTCTAGATTATAAAGTAGTGAATATATAAATGATTTAGAACTTCATATTTTTCAAGGGAATAAATTTTCTAGAGAATTTTCTATTTATGTTAGTAAGTGCGTATACATTATCCTCTTACAGAAATACTTCAAATAACTCAAGAAAAAGTTTTAATGCCAGCAGAACTACAGAGGTGTCGATGATAAGGCAGTTAAAATGTATTATATCTTATATTTATCTTATTATCTATATTGCTACATTATAAACAATATACGTAAAATGCCTACCGAGTGTCATAATTAATTCGCTATCAATTTAAAGTTCGGTTCCATTGGAAAGATTGTAAGCAAGTGTATGTCACGAACATGTGACATGTTATAGTCGGTTCTTCAACAAACGAATGAATATAACTTCACAAGCTTGTTACAATAATAGACAAATTTCTGAGATCGACTAAACATTAGTTATTTGATTCCCTTCATTGTTTTCACTGTTCATTACTAGATTTAACAATTTGATTTCTATCCTTATTTTGCTCTTTATGGTCTATCTCATGCTAGACCATAAAGCTAAATAAGAAACGAAATTCTTTGTTTAGTCAATTTACTTTCAGAGTTTTTGATATTGATTAGCAAAATGTTTTAAGACTTATGAGCAGAAGCAATACAATTAACGAAATACACAATTATCTTTATTTTATATTTCCTAGTTTAAACAAAGATTTAACTAATAAAATACAAAAGAGAAAACTGATTTTTGACATAATATATCATTTTTAGAATAATTTTTAAAGCAATTCTTCAATATTTAACGTTATAACACAAACTACAAAATCAATTATAATTATAAAAAGCCAAAATTTAACAAATATATGTAATTTCGATCAAAAGCTGTATAAAGTATAAAATTACTTCCAATTACCAATTAAGACCTTGTTCTTCAAATCTCGGGCTGTTTTCGCTGTAAAACTGAGAGTACCATTTCCTAAATTTGGCAATTGTCTTGTCTTCTGACATGTAAATTGGATTCTTCAAATACATTTTGTAATTCCATATGCGAATGTCTTGTTCAATCTATTAAAATAAATATTTCTAAGTATTAATACACATATTTCAGGTATATTTTCGAATTTCACGGATTAGAATGGCACAATCTTACAATATAATATTCCACAAAGAACAAAATATAATCAGTTATGGCTGCAAATCGAGAAGTAGTGTAATAATGCCGAATTAATTTTTGTCGAAATGATCCTTCTGGTATAATGCCATATACAACCATTACATTTCCAAATAAAACTTTGATATGAAGTTGTGCTATTGTGGGGCCAATCTGAAAAATTGAATATATTTAATAATAATACATACACAACCGATCGTTTTATAAAAATTGTTTGTTTGTAGACGCATTTAAAACTTTTTCGTTGTAGCGAGTAATTTCACGTATTTATTTGTACTAATAAGAGGTAGCGTAGCCCCTAAGAAGATTTTTATGCTAATATTGCCCTTCCAATATGTCAAACTGTATCACGAAATTAAACACTTTCGTTAGACTTATTTAATGGACTGCAAACTCGCAAATCGTGTTTTAATTCATCTGCCAAACAATATGTGGCGCGCTGAACGCGAGGCTAATCTTTGATATCTTCTAGTGTGTCAAACACATCTCTCGCACACACCTTCACGCCATACAATGCAATGAGAATTATTGGTTTGTGGTAAGGCTTCTCTTCTCTATAAATAAAATTCTGCGTGTTGTCCTAGCTATCTGAGGGGATGTTGAAACGACTGGAATGTTCCCGACAAATTTTCAGACGACTTTTCTGTGATTAATTATATTACAGAAAGGAGAATGTTGAGTGTGTAGGCGAGCAAAAACTTTTCGTATCAGGATTGAATGATCTCTTCTGCAGATATTGGGTGACAAATTTCTGAAATGTCTACGTTATTTTGAACAATTCATGTCAGATTTAGCAAAATGTCATCTTTGCAGTTTTCGAAGAAATGTGTGGATTTGATAAAGATGCTAGTGCAATATAAATTTTCTGCACATATCCATAGTTTAGCGATATTCATTAAAAGTCAAAGTAGCTAGAAGGTGCAATATTCTTTTTGTTTTAGGATGCAATGATTTTTTATGGTGTGCGAAATTTCTGAAATTTTCCAAATTTTTTCTACAGGAATGCAATAAGAAATTATTTTCAAGAATTAAGTGCCAAAAATAAATAAACGTTTTTTCTTAAATTTTTAGAATTGCCGAATGTATTTATCACATATTGTGTAACGCTCTATAGTAGAGATTAGCCACATCTCTAGTGTTAAAGTGTCAAATTCGACCATTAATATCTCATAAACCAACGAATTGATTTGGATGAAAAAAAATTATATTTCTGCGATGAAGACTACGGAAGTGTTAAATGTTTAGTAAATTCGTTGCATCGTTCTGAATTTACGCAATCCTAAATTGAGCATTCTTTGCACTAGAATTACAACGAGAGAGATTTTCGTGACACCAAGCTACCAGAAAATCTAGAAGTCTGCACATTCTTAATAGCTCTTTCAAGAGCTGACCACTTCTTTTGTGGTCTTTTTGAAGGTTTTATTTTAAAAATATGTAGTATTTATATAATTGTAGCCCAGTTTTTTGAATATTAACATTTCATTGGTTGATCATTTTCCAAGTGACATGACGTTTTGCAATTACTGTTAATTTATTAATGAATACAATCATATAGATTTAAAAATAGAATATTTATAAAATAATGTTGTATCCAATATTATCTGTATTTGTATTGCTGCTCTGATTGTGCTTTGCGGCATCAGGCTATGTACTTTGTACGTTTTAATAAAAAAATCTGAATATGTATAAATATAGACTCTACATAAAGCTTTTCACTCTGACAAGTTAGCAGGAAAGGTTTTCAGATAATATTTACCTGATTTAAGTAAGTAATTTTCATTAAAAAAGAGCAATTCTTTATATCTATTTTAACCAGTCGATTAACCTTTATTACTTTATTCTATTTTCTAGATTATAAAGTAGTGAATATATAAATGATTTAGAACTTCATATTTTTCAAGGGAATAAATTTTCTAGAGAATTTTCTATTTATGTTAGTAAGTGCGTATACATTATCCTCTTACAGAAATACTTCAAATAACTCAAGAAAAAGTTTTAATGCCAGCAGAACTACAGAGGTGTCGATGATAAGGCAGTTAAAATGTATTATATCTTATATTTATCTTATTATCTATATTGCTACATTATAAACAATATACGTAAAATGCCTACCGAGTGTCATAATTAATTCGCTATCAATTTAAAGTTCGGTTCCATTGGAAAGATTGTAAGCAAGTGTATGTCACGAACATGTGACATGTTATAGTCGGTTCTTCAACAAACGAATGAATATAACTTCACAAGCTTGTTACAATAATAGACAAATTTCTGAGATCGACTAAACATTAGTTATTTGATTCCCTTCATTGTTTTCACTGTTCATTACTAGATTTAACAATTTGATTTCTATCCTTATTTTGCTCTTTATGGTCTATCTCATGCTAGACCATAAAGCTNCTATTATATATATATAATTATTTTTTTATTAAATAATTATAATTAAATCATTATAACCTAGTCAATCAAAATAAAGAGTCTGAAATCGTTGCAAAAATAATAACTAATTTGGTCCCTAAACAAGATGATAATACAGTACTCCTTCCTACTGCAAAAAGCATTGATGTCGAGTCTACTGTTGAAAATAGTATATCTTCGCCAAAAGCTTATAAAAAGACACAAAGCTCCAGCTCAAGATGAGGTCTTTGAAAAAGTTACAAGTTTAAAAAATAAATTGAACATTCAGCGTTTAGCTCGAGATGCCAATCTATGCACGTAGAGTACAGAGTAAAGTTTCCCGATAACGATTTTATTGTATCGGAAGGACACAAATTGATCCCATCAATTTATACAGGTATAGTGATTAATAGACCGCATGGACTGGGAGATCCTGAAGCAGTGAGTTACTTAAGGCCAACTTATATTGCCATAAGTGGAAAACGTGATAAATCGACTGCTGATAGCCATGCCGCAGATTTTGAGCGCCTATTGGAGCTGAAAGAATTTGACAGTATAATGAAAATTAATGATCAAATAAAGCCATTAGTCATAATTTCATCCGACGGAGGACCTGATGAAAAGCCAAGGTAAAAATAGTATTTCTTCGTAGTTTTATTCAAATAAATAATCTTAGAATTTATTTCGTAAAGTTTTACGAGTACATTCTGATAATTCTATTAAATAAAAATAATTTTTAATATTATTCACTTTTACATTTTTTTAAGTAGTGTGTAATTTCGATGTTTATTATATCTTTTGAAAGCGTATAATTTACGTATTAAAGTAAAAAAACAATGTAATAGTATAAACAATTAATTTTTTTCTATGTAATTTATTTTCAGATATTTTAAAGTCATTTCTTTCGCAACTCAGCACTTCAAAAAATTCAAACGCGATGATTTTTTTCACTGTTATTGTTCCTCATCCATACCAGTGCTATGCTATAGATTTTAGACAAGAGTGAGCTGGGTTATAAGAATATAAAACATGATCCTGAAACGCATACTTTATCTCCATAACCTAAAATTAAGAGGCCTAATGGCCGAGCGGTCTAGGTGGCAGCCCGCCGCTCTGGGGGACCCGGGATCGTATCCCGTCGGGTCGAAAAATTTCCAGGAATTTTTCGGGGGGTGGTCTGCTCGGATATGTCGGGCCCCGTCCCTCACCACTCGGAAGCCCCATTGTGGGCCTGGCCGAATCATAATAGACTTGCAAAAAGAGGCCCTCTTAGTGCCCACTGGACGGAAAGAGTATAAAAAAATTAATATCATTAAAAGTACTGTAATTACATTTCGAATTTCTTTAGCAGCTCAAACAGCTGAATACATTCTGAATATGATAAATATTGAGAATAAATTTACCAAATCGTGAAATTATGTCGGTCAACACAGAATACTTTCTATCATTTACGCTTTACTAATATCAATTCGTAAAATCTATGGATAATTTAGGGCAAACTCGTGAAAATAAACGAAAACTATCCTCAAAACTCGAGCGCATATACAGTAAAACCTATCTATGGCGACCACCCACGGGTCCTTCAAAAAGTGGTCTTTTAGACAGGTGGTGGTGCTATAATACCGTATAATACGTATTTTGCGCACTTTTTAGCCATTTCTACTAAGCAAAACTCGAGGGGAGCAAAAATAAGCGAATTTTTTCAACGATAGGGCTATATTGGTATTGTATTTTATTCTTATCGAATAACTGATTTACAGGAGTCGTCGTAATTTTATAAGACAGATTTAATACCAGTATTTTAAAGATTAATACTATAGTCGCATTTTCTCAATTATAATGCACATTTTCTTTTTCCGACTTAATTAATTCGACTCGGTTTTTTTCATTTGCTCTTCAATTGCGTGTATTACGCCATCGATATACAAGCGCATCGTATCTCTACATCACTTTGGTTTCGGTATTCGTTAGTTTAATCTTATTTTAACTTTAAAAATACTGTAATTTTTAATATTTAATATTTTCTTAAGTACATTAAAATTATTAATTAATAATAAAAAACGATTTTATTATTTTTTCTCATTATACGATTTCATTACATTTCGCGATTGTCATTACGGAATCGAAAAAAAAGGTTTCCTGTAAAACTGATTTTTGCATTAATGCCTTTATTGTTTTTTGAATATTTTGAGTGCGAAAATTACTTGGATATTATTTTTCTTAAAAATATCGTGGAAATAAGGTAGGTTGATACAGAAACCATTTATCGCACATGTACAGTACCGTATATGAGCTTCAAAATAAATAAATAAATAAATAAAAATAAATTTTATCAAACGATAAGATCATCCGATTAATATCGTGTACAATATTTTATTCCTCCAAGGAAAATACTGTAGGTCTACGGTAAAATAAATTTCGTTTTCCCACAGTTAAACTTCGCCGCTAATTGCTGTTGTGATAATTTTAACACGATCTTCTAATCATAGCACTTTGCATTTCTTTCGTTTTTCGGACAATTTCGAACAAACTGAAATGAATTTCCTTTGTTGCTAGACTAATTCATTAATTTAACACCTGCACCTAATTTCAAGGGTGGGAGAAGTGCCCGAGGTGGGCTCGAACGAGAGTTTAGATTACTTCATTATACTTGAAGGGGAAAACATTGTTGAACAATAGTTTAGACCAGATATATTTGCGGACGTGGTCTCTTATTACAGTTGTTGTATGTTGTTTCGGACCAAATATCGATGCCCGCGGTCGCGTTACGCAGGTGGTCGTTTAATACAGGTAACTTATACGAAGACTCTATGGATAAACTATTCGGTGCCAGAAATTTTTTGCCCGTTTTGACAGATGCCCGTTGAATGCAGGTGGTCGCCTAAGCAGTTTTCACTGTATTTATTTGTGAAATCTCTTCTAGAAATTCTGCACCATAGTTAGTGTTGCAACATTTTCACAATTGCTGACGCGGACAAGAGATTTATCCCAACACAAGTTTCTGACTGGTTTGAATTTGAAACCGTACGAAGCATGCACAATATCATTTTACAGTCAAGAACTGAATAAAGCGCATGCCAGTTTTAAACCAGTCAGGGACTTGTGTTGGACAGACCTAATATTTGCCAGAGATATTCAGAAGTTAGAATTTCAAAAGTACATTTTCTGACACTCTTAGCCTAGGGATAAGTTGGGATAAGTTTGGGAATGGATGTGAAGTTAAAGTGTTACTTGCAAATATTTTTATAAATTTGTTTTATCACAATTTCACAATTTCTACAAAAACCGGACAAATTCGTAATCAGTCTGGACACTATGAATTTAAAAACCGGCTTTCCCGGGTGGAAACCGGCCTGGTGTCAACACTAACTGTAGTGTAAAATTAAACACATATATTTTACTACAAATTAATTACCTCTTGAATTTCAAATGATATGTTTAGTATAGATATTCCGAACAATTTAAGAGTAGTATTGCCTTTAAATTTGATACAGTAATAAGTTTTTTCAGATACTGGAAGGCAGGTTATTTTGGTTGTAAACTGAAGAAATCTCCACCAATTTTCTGGATGCGGAATAGTACTAGACGTAACATTAAATTTGTGAAGGTAATTTAAATGAATGAAATCTGCTCCGTTTTCTGCGACTTCCTGTAGAAAATAAATAAAAACATAAATAATACACGTATTTATTTGGCACAGTGTTAGTTATAAATACCTGAATATGGCAATTTACAATGTGCTCACTACGACCTCTATACCGCATTAGTCGATTCTGTACTTCTGGTATAACTGAAGGTTTCCACAGAGCAGGTTGGCCTTCTGCATGATGCCACAGGTAAATAAATCCATTTTGCTCTAAGGTTTCCCAACTTTTTATTTTAGCCACCTCTGGAACTAAATTTAAATATATGTTACTGTGTGTTTCTTTTAATTAATATTACTCCATGGGCAAAAGATATCTTTCCAGCATTGGAAAACCACAAGCTTATGATGCATTTGTGAGAATCTGAATATTGAATTGGTATTTTTATAAGAATTTAAATCAATATAATATTTCAATATTAAATTCGAAACTTTTATTTTATAAAAAAGTTGAGGAGAACAAGGAACAAAAGTTTCCTTTTTGATTGTTGGTTCGTGAGAGAGATTGTTATCTCTCCTATGACTAAATGTCTTACTAACTAAAACTCAGCTTGACATCCCGTCAGATGGTGAAAATACTTAATTCTCATGGGGCCGTCCATAGATTATAAGGCCATTCTAGACCCCTACCATCCCTGTGTAAGAAACCTTAATGTTTTCTTTGATCCCCCTTCCCTCCCTATCTTACGTAATATTTAGGCATGATTTTTCAGAAAGATTTTAACAAAAAAAGGGGTTTTTAATGAAACTCTAAAAACCTTAGGTCCAAAATATATAATTATTAATTAGTTAATTAATATTTACTATTATTTATAAAAGACTTTGTGAACAAATTTTAAAATATGAAAATATAAAAATTTAATGAATTCGAATGAACAATTTATTTTAAGAACTTTATTTTTTAATTATCAACAATCTTTTCATTATTATTATCATTAATCAACGTCATAATATTCACTTTCATATTAATTTTAATTTTCACAAAAGGACGCAAAAAATGTTGACAGATCGACTAGCTAGTACACGTGTAAACAGAAACGTCATACAAAACAAGAGTGAAGAGAGAGAAACCGCTACACGGCCTTTCTCCTATAATAAAAAAAACGTGTAGAGAGTGAGTCTGCTAGCGTTATTATTCTATCACGTCACACGACATGGCATTGGTACAATGAACGTTCTTAATAGAAACCATCAAACTGAAGCTAAATTCAAAACGCCACCACTCAACGAAATCAAAAAATAAAACTAAGAATATTACGTAAGACGAAATCTTACTCCCTATCCCTGAGTAAGAAATCGTAAGAAATCCTTGACATCCACCCACCTCAAAATACCTTACGTAATTTATGGACTGCCCCCATTGGAAGAGAATATTAGTATAAAAATAGTTTACACGCCAAACTCAGAGTGCATTCTACAGTAATCGCCATATATTTTAAATTAGTGCATGATCTCCTTTGGTTCCCGGACTTCCGCCTAGCCTATTAATTAACGTACCAAATTACAAGTCCAAACCTTGGGTGACATGTGTCTCATCCCATATTAAGGAAGACTTATATTAACCATATAGAGATATTATATATATATATATATATATATATAAAAATAGACATGTATGTCCCTATATCTCACTTTTTCGCCAAAACTACACATCGCATGTGAATGGTGTTTGTATGTGGTGGTAGCCCCAAGTCTCCATTCGTGCATAGGGGTGGTTGCGTCTCGATAGCTATAAGGGTGCGGGAGATATGGGGCTGAAAGTGGTTGAAAGTGGTTTTCTATTTCGAATGTTATGTTCGAATTTGTTCGAATTTGAATTCGAACATAAAATTCGAATATTGGTTCGATTATAGAACGATTGTAAACGTTCCAGAAACGTTGAAAATAGTTCGTTTGACTGGACGTGAACAGGAGACGTTCAGAAATAGAATCTGGACCAGGTCTCTAATTAGTCTGGAAACGGAGGACCTAATTCTTGCATTTTGTGAAAACGGGTAAGATTGGCTATAATGTAATTATCTTAATCTTCACTATCGTTACTTTTTGCCCAGCGAAGCGGGTCCTTGCAGCTAGATTCTAGATTACTTAGAAAAACAGTCTTTTATATATATATATAAAAAAACTATACTATTACATACAAATAAAAACCCAGCGAAGCGGGATCTTGCAGCTAGTATATATATATATATCATAATATCTATTCTAAATCACTTATATCTATAAAACGAGAGAGAGTTTACAAATATATACAAATATAATGTAAACTCTCTCTCGTTTTATAGATATAAGTGATTTAGGATAGATATTATGATTAATTGTTTTATTTGTATCTTCTTTTTATTTCATTAAATTTTTGTTATTGTGAACCGCCGGGGAGGTCGGGAACCGTCGACTCTCCCTTTTCGGCTACAGATCGTTAAACCTGCTCACTTGTCAAGATGGCTAAATTTCGAATGCGGTTCCGAAGGGTCGGGATTCTTTTTGTCAGGTCGAGTGGAGGAGGTGAGAGGGGTCGTTGTCGAGGCGTAGGCGATATGCGAGTAAATGACACCATTTAACAATGGAAACAACGATTTATTAGATTAACGAAAAAATTAACGATTACAAAATCTAACATCTGGAGAAATCAATTTAGTTCGCTAGCTCCTAACTCGCGGAGAGAGATTTTACATTTAATGCTCCATACCTCTAGTTTACTTCCACGTAGGTGGGAAAATTTTAGTCCTTTTTTTTCGGTGATCGACGCACAAAGTAAAAATCCTCCGAGACTGAACCCTTTCCGACGACGGCCGTAGATGTGAGACTCCCCCGAGGAGGGGGAGGAAGTCGCTTTTATAGCTTTGGGCAGGGGAAATTGGTCAGGTGATCCCTTATTGTGAGAGGTGGAGTTGGTCCTGCAGGTGTGGAGGTTAAAGTTGTTCCCAGGACCAAACCAAAATGACGAATTCGGACTTTAACTATAAACTTTTTGTCTTGCAGAAGAGGAATGTCATTGTTCGAGAATTGAATGTTTATATTAACGATGAAAGTTATAAGTTTCAATCGATATTTGATTCTTTTTTCCCGACAATGTTATTTTAACGAGGAGGCGACAAATTTATTTCAAATACGTCGAAAATTTAGGGGAGAAAATAAACAATTTTGGCCTTACTCTTAGGTCGGATCTCACATTATTCGTTTTTAACTTTGTTGTTTTAATGATTGATATACCCTATCGACGTACCCACCACCCTCCCTGCTAGTAACTAATAACCCTCCTATATTCAATAAATATCTTTTCAAGGCATCCATTGACAGAGTGAGCAAGTCTCAACGACTCGTTGCCGAATAAGCAGTAAAGTAAAACGGTCAACTTTACCCTCCGGTTTCTCACACATTGGTTCCAGTGCAAATGTTTACAGTAAAATTAATTAATTCATTTAATAAGACACACGTGTAAATCAAACTGCACTTTTTTAGTAATACGTACAATTTTGTATCTCTGATGATCTCAAAAGAAAAAACGGAAATTATTATAAGATTTAGCATAACGTAAAATGAGTCTGATTATAAAATGTAAAAGTATTGCATAATTTAATACAAAAACCATCAACTTTATTTTCGCGTAGTACATGTTTAAACGAACTGCTATCAGCAGTAGAAAACAATGTACAGTACAGTATACAATTAAAACTTTCAATATGAGTATCACATAGCATATTTGGCATCTTTTATTTCACATTTTCTACATTTGTTGTCGTACACTTTATCCCTGCTTTTTATTGGCGTGCTGCGCCAATAAAAAGCAGGGATAAAGTGTACGACAACAATCCAGCCGCCCCGAGAGATGCTGAAGAACTGCAACACTAATGCATCTTGGAAGACCTGCAGGAATAAGTCATTGAGATCAAATCAAAAATTTGTGGCCAAGAACAGGGTTGTATTTTTTATTCCATTGCCTATCAAACACTCGTTTAATTCATTGATACATGGCTAAATGTGAATAAGCTGTTGCGCTGTAATCCTGGTCGCAGTTGCTTGTAGTAGCAAGTTATAAAGCGATTTACCAACTGTCAAAGATACAAATATAATAGTCACAATGAAAGACTATCAAATTGTTTACACCATATAACACAACAGTCCTTTAGCATAAATCGTAAATGGATAGTGTAGTTTGCACACACTTCCTAGTGGTACACATTATGTCAGTTCACCTCTTTAGAAATAATTGCCTAGTTATTAATCCACACAATATTCTCCATCACTAATGGTGTAACCTGATGTAAGTTTATCACAATACTAGTAGACCCCGCCACGCCTTGTTGTGGCTCAAAATGTATCTATTATAAATGTATAACACTTCCCCCGTGGGGGAAAATTTTTCGAAAAATTTTTTCTTAGTGTACATTCGCTTGACGTACCCTATTAAAACGCAATCAAAAACGCAAAAACCCGCATCTAAAATAGTATAATAGAAGCCAAGTTTTTCAGAGTAAGCCTTAATCTTGTCCTTCTCCCCCGCGGGGAAAATATCGAAAAATTCCTTCTTAGTATACATTGTGTTGACGTACTCTATTAAAATGAAATAAAAAACGCAAAAAAATCGCATATAAAATAGTATAATAGAAGTGAAGTTCTTCACAGTAAGCCTTAATCCTGTCCCTCTCCCCCCGGGAGGAATATCGAAAAATCCCTTCTTAGTGTACATTCTGTTGACGTACCCTATTAAAATGCAATCAAAAAAGCAAAAAACCGCATCTAAAATAGTATATTAGAAGTGAAGTTCTTCACAGTAAGCCTTCCCCGTAAGGCTTGTCGTAAAGAACTGTCCATATCCCCCATGTTTAACGGAATAATATACAGCCTATGTCCACCCTGAAGTTCCATTCTAAATATTGGTGAAAAAATTTTTGAAATCGGATGAGTAGTTTTGGAGATTACCTGCTGCATCCAAACTTACTTACATACATTACCTCTTTATAATATTAGTATAGATTGCAACAATACAATTCCTGTGCATGAATCCTACATTTGCCAGTTACAAGAAGCAGTTGAATAGATGCCTATTATGCTTTTGTCTAAATTTTTCATGTCTTTTTGTATTTTATAGTCTTTTTCTTACATGCGTAGAATAATGACCATATTCTAAATTAGTGAAGATCAGGATGACTTCAACAGTGCTATCGATTTTATTCAAACAATATTTTACATTGATAATCGTCTGATATGAATCACGGTGTTGCCGTAGTTATAAAGTGCTTGTGGAATCTACTGTGTTGCTTTTCGCTTATTCCTTTTTGTTTCCTATGAAGACCAATCAACGATTTTGCAATGTTGTCCATGTGTATAAGTCATTGTTACAGTGCGCTACATATTGCAGACTGTTTGATGCGCTTTTATTACTTACGAAGTTCGCAATATTTAATACTGCATGATTTGTCATATTAAGATGTTACATTGTGTGACAGCCAGATTTGACGAAATTTTTTCTCTTTCGAAAGTTAAATTAGTTCAAATCCCAGCGAAAACAAAATTTTCAATTTAATTACTGGAGAATGATCGCATCTCTTTTTCCAGAGTCACTTCCTTTCCCAGGGGACTCATCGAATGTGTCACCGGGAACAACTACAAATATTCATTCACCATTGGTCGAAAATATTAACGTGGCTAAGAAGAAGGCATCGAAACCAAAGGGGGAGGACCTCCGATATAATAGGATTGAATCGAGGACAAAAAGGTCGTCAGGAGTCTGAGAGTTCACTGACCCTGTTCCCGCCCCAAGAAAGTGTAATGTAACTGTGATCTATCGCCGATCCCTTCGACCGTCGCTCCTGTCCAATGTTGCCGTTCTCCGAACATTCGAACTTCTCGACCCATGAACCTGACAAACCGACATAACAAACACAAATTTCCTCAACGATCTATGATCCCATTCAACCAACGATCTACGATCTCGACCCATAAATCAAGTTATCTAGGTATTTAGCATCACGCGCAATTATGTAAGCTCTCTCTCAGCTAGGAATGCTTTAACTCCAAATCTACTAGTATAAAGTCCAATAGATTATGTTACGTTGTATTCATATTATCCAGTATATTACGCTACTAGGGCTCATCTATTTTGCCGCTATATAAAATTTAAAGGGAATGTTATTGTAACCATATGTGTAAATAAATAGTTTACAGGAATAAACAGAAATTATTTCTTTACAATTGAGTAGTAGTGCGCACTTCTTTCGGCCGCATTGCTTCTCAGGCCGTCTTTATCCCAGACCCCGTGTCTACATAGGCCGACCGCTCATGCAAAACCGAATCCGGAGCCAACAATATTTCTGTGTCTGCCTTAAAAGACACAGTGGTGTCAGTCATAACATAGGCATCACCGGTCTGGTGCCGACCCTTTAGTGAGAAATCGGGCGAGAAAATAATACTCTACACCTAATTCCGACAACGATTCGGTAATGAATTATTCACTCTGTCAGTGGATGGGAACCATGATAAATTTAAAAGTGACTGGAATTCTTATGATCTTCCTAATCTCTTCCTGACACCAGACAAGAAAGGGTTAACTATTTCTATCAAAATTAAAAGAGAGAGATTACAATCCATTCTAAAAATAACCCTGATTGATAATCCATAGACTTCCCGTATATTCTGATCATAGAGAATTTTTTATAGACTGGAGATGGAGAGAAGTTGATTCATCGATATGTAGGAGACTTTCTTGGGCTAGACAAAGAGGATTGACAGTCTAATATTTATCCTTGGTTCTTAAGGAGAATCCGAGCAAAAATGGCAATTTCGAATCCTTTTATATAAAAATTTCTCTCCAATCGTGGGCCAGTCTTTCGACCATCTGACAGAACGTGTAGATTAGTCGTATAGGCCAGAAGTCTTGTCATCGGTGATGATAAGGAAATGGTCATCTTGCTCAGGAAATGGACGGCAAAAATGGAAGTTCTAGTTCCTTGTTCATATCGAATTTTATCGTCAAAAATTAGAAAAATTGTCATTTTAACATCGAAATAATACATCAAAATTTTAAACTTATTACATAAAATATCGCTCTAACTTCAGAATCTCATAATTGCATCTCGACCTTAGAAAACTGCTATCAATTTACAGCATTAAATACATAGATTCTTTTGTTCAAGAAATTTGAATATTTAACTATAATCATCGTAGCGAAACTAATGCACCATATTGATATTCTCTTGCATATGTAAGAAAATCAGTTTTTTTTTTACATGAATCAGCATAGATATATTAAGTATATATATTTCTAGTACTTACTTTTTTCGGCGTAAGGTATTTTCACGCAAGAACCATCCTGTCCAGCAAATCGCCATCCGTGAAAAGGACATTCGATGCAATCCTCGTGAACTTTGCCATCAGTTCCTAAATGAGCGCCCAAATGTGGACAAAAAGCGTCTAAAACGAAGCATTTGCCTGTTTTTCCACGAAATATAACGAACTGCTGACCTGTAAAGTAATTAAAATTATTTCTAATCATAAAGTTTTCAAATTTATTATTATCGATATATAAATGTACTTTGCGTAAATAGAGATAGTGTATCTTTACAATGAATGTATTTACTCATTTATTCACACACTTTCATAATTAATTTGTACGAGGGGTGTTCAAAAAGTATCGGATCTTTATTTTTCCCGCGTAAATCAATGATGCACAGGAGGTCTCTTTCGGTGGAGTTGTGGAGGGGACAGTCATGCGCAGTCCTGAATTTTTTCCAGCCTGCAGGAAGCGTCAGTCACTGGCAGTCGACCTATGAGTGAGGACGTGTAGTGAGCGCTCATCGGATTCCACTGTTGGAAAATGACTGAACAACGTGAGCAGTGATATTGCATTAAATTTTGCCAAAAGCTTGGCGATATCCAAGCGAAAACCATTCGCAAGATTCTGCAGGCTTTCGGGGACGATCCTCGAGGCCAAAAAAAAGCGTGGCAGGTCCACAGCAATGTCAAGGTCATGTTGACAGTTTTTTCGACTCCCGTGGGGTGGTGTATCGTGAATACGCACCACAAGGCCAAACCATCGCAAAGGAGTACTACCAGGAGGTCCTTCGTCGTCTTTGTGATGCAGTGCGACGCAAACGACCGGATCTATGGTCAACCAAAACTTGGCAGCTTCATCATGATAACGCACCAACCCATTCTGCGCATATGATTCGGACTTTCGTCGCCAAACACAACATTCCTGTGGTTCGTCACGCTCCGTACTCTCTCGACATGGCTCCGTGTGACTTTTGGCTATTTTCCAAGCTGAAAATGCCACTAAAAGGAACCCGATTTTAGTCAAGAGAAGACGTCATGCGAAATGCGACGGACCGGTTGATGGCCATTCCAAAAGATGCGTTCCAGCAGTGTATCCGACAATGGCAGGAGCGCTGGGAGAAGTATATACTTTACCAAGGAGACTACTTTGAAGGGGATTAGGGTTTTGTACTTCAAAATCAATAAATGTATTTTTGCCGACCAAAGGTCCGATACTTTTTGAACACCCCTCGTACACCTATAAATATACAGTCACTCAGTCAGTCTTTATTTAAAGTGCATACGCACATATCTGGCACCGCTAGGTTCATTACCAGATAAGTATACATAGGAATTATTTACATATTAACAGTACAAATCAACAGTACATAAAACATTATAGTCAATTGAAGTAATACAAAGCAAAATAATATAAATACAGTTTTACATAATATAATAAACAGTAGCATAATAACATACAGCATTTACAATAAGATATACAGTAGACTACTCAAGTATAATATCTTGTGGTATATATATTAATAAGAAATATACAAATTGTATGTAAAATCTATATTAAAGCAATTGCTAATTACAGTGAAAACATAAAGCAAACTTTACAAATAGCAATCATTAGCTATTATTATTAAAATCAATCATTACAATCTCTACGAAATGTCAATACAAATTTAAATACGTTGATACGTATTCAAACTTAAATAAGAATTTGTACTGAAAAAATACAAAATAATTTATGTATTTAAAATTAATTAATTTCAAGGTATTAATGTAATGACATATTTAAGTTTACAGACTTCTATAAAATCAAATTTGAAAATATTCACACAATACAGTTATATTTAATTATTGAAATGAGAAAAGAATTTATTAATGTTAAGTACTGTACGTAACTGAAGTAAATGATGTCAAAAGCTGATAGATTGCGAATAGTAGAAATTCTTAAAGGGTGTTTTTACTTCTTCAAAAAAACACAAAAAGTGAGATTGTAGCCTTACACAAAGATATGGGAATATAAATAAAATAATAAGTCATATGGAATACAGGAAGAGTTAGTCAATTAGAAGGTAATCAATGTTTATAAGTAAAGCTAAGTTAGGGCTGTTTACACGTATTTAAAAGTAAATTGTCAGCAAGTAAAGTTCTAATTTCGAACTTTATGCACAGTGAAACGCTACATTCGTGATTAGAACATAAATAAAACAGACTGAATGCAATATAAAAGTTCAAAACAGTTATGTAGTAGCTAGTGTAGGAAAGCATTCACTAAAGAAAACAATGCCATAGATTGAAAACATTTTGATTCGGATGGCCCTGACAACTTTAAATGTTAATGGCACATTTTACAGATATAGCCTGAGATTGCTTTTAGCCAGTAAAGTAAAGCAGGATTTCTGCACGATTCATATGATGGCAAAACACACAGCTTTTTGAAGGAGAACCATATCGCCAAACATAATGTTTACTATTATCGGACTTTTATTTTTCGAAGATCTTTTACTTGAAAGTAAAAAAAAAACCTTTACATATATAATGCGTTTTTCCAAATTGCAAATGTGATCGAATAATATTGCTAGAAATAAACGTCAATTTTTGGAAGAGCTCAGCGAACAGTCCAAACTTAAATTCCAGAGCAATCTTGTATAACTTTTAAAAATTAAAACATTACAATCAGTATGAAAATTTTAGTAGTTTTAAAACGATCATAAGTAAAGATAAATATGGGTAAAACTGGTATAGGCCATAGTGAATACAAATCTTAATTAAATTAACAGTAAGGCAAAAGTTTCATATATTCCGTTTAATTATCAAATTTGTTATTTTAAAATTAAGTTGTTCTAATTTGTAAATAATAATTTTAAAAATAAAAGTTTATTCTGATATCTGAATAAATTAAAACACGGCAATTTGAAATAATATAACAGCAAAGTTTGCTCATTGTTAAAACTTGTTGATTCTGACGAAAATTACGGCTCTATTTATACTTAAATTCAAGGGATATCGACGGGTTTTTACAATAATAGTTATAGAATGAACCCAACAAAAACAAAAACTATAAAATTTGTAAAACGAAATTTTAAAACTTCTTGCTCGAATAATACAGTTCATGTGCTTATACTCAAAAATTTAGATATTTTTTTTTGTATTTTCTATATAAAATGAATAGAAATAAGTGTTTGAAAAGTGTCCGTTGTACAGAAAGAGACCGTTGTTCAACGGACACTTTTCAAACACTTTTTTCTATTCATTTTATGTAGAAAATACAAATTTTTATAGCAATGAATTTGTAAAGAAATTTGTTAAAAACCATTTTTATTTAGCATCACCACTTTCAATAATATATACTGTAATAAATGTTGTCCTCGATGAAAAAAATAAAATTTATAAAAATTTATATTTAAATATTTTTTTTAAAAAACATATATCACCTACAATAACATTTTATTATTGTAGGAGATATCTGTTTCTAAAAAAATTATAAAAATTTATATTTAAATACCTACAATAATATTTTATTATTGCAGGTGATATGAAAATTTTCTGCGATTGTCCATATAACATATATATGAAAACACTATGAAAGATTGTGTGAAAAGCATTCATGAGTACAGTCGACCCCCCTATAACACGGGTTCCTATAGTTCGAATTCCTATATCACGGCAAAAAAATTGCGACAGTATTCGTACAAACGTGCTAAAACAAACTCCTATAATTCGGTAAAATTTCATTGCCGATTCGTGTCGCGACAGGATTGGTCGAATCTAGACTAATAGCGGATATTGCACAAACCGTTGAGTTTAAACGAGCATCGGACCTACTGAAAACCACAGTCGATCCCCCTATAAGATCATTGATTTTTCCGTTTTATCTGAATTACATGTTGTACGAGTCACTTAGATTTTACAAATACGTGTGCCGGGCTGTGAACGGCTCACATATTTGTAAAATCTAAGTGACTCGTACAACATGTAATTCAGATAAAACGGAAAAATGAATGATCTTATAGGGGGGTCGACTGTATTTATTATTTAACGTCCATAGAAATTATATTTATATTAATGATGTCTCCAAAGTTCAGCGAATTTTTCGCAAAAAAAAAAATAATTTATCAGGAATCACGCGAGCGCCATTCGATGACAAGCTCCACGACGAAAACAAGCTTAAGCAATGGCGTCGTCGAACGGTGCACACTCGGTAAGTAATCCTACAATTTTTTGTTTATAGCATAGTTTATATGGATTATTCCCAAAAAATTATACGTATTTTGGAAATGTTGAGTCGAATCGATTAGTCTAGAATCGATTAATTTTATGAAAGAAACCTTTCAAACAGCCGTAGTCCGTAAACTGCATACGTGCCGGGCAGTGATTGGATGGACTCGTAGAAAATGGATTCATAAAAACCGGAATGTATCTACCGTGTTATAGGAGGGTCGACTGTATATTATTTTTTGTAAATAGGAGATGGTTTGTCCATATCCCAATTTTTAAGACTATGATATGGATAAAAATATACTTTTCTGTAATTTTGACAAGGCTATTTTTATGGATTTTGGTACTCCCATTTCTCTATATCGAAAATGGTATTTTCACGTTATATACTAGTATTTCAGATTTTAGCTTTAAATTTTTTTTTTCAATTTGTTTGCGTTTAAAGTAACTTATTCCGTACGTCAAAAATAAGTTATTTAGTACCTCATAGTACTGTACATCATAAACTCGATCGCTTCGCTCCCGCACCCAAAGTTTTGATTCTCACATCATAGATATAAACCATGAAAATAATTGCAGAATTTTATCGATCTCTAACTGTTAAATTTTGAATCTCCGGACAAAACAAAAAATTAGCTACATGGAATGCTAGAAGTATGTTTGAAAGTGGAAAATTAGATAATACGGTGAAGGAAATGGAAAGATTAAAGATTGATATATTGGGTATAAGTGAAGTTAGATGGCCTGGTACGGGGATTTGCAAAACACAGAATGGAAATTTTTATTATTCAGGATATAACTCGATAAATCATAACCACGGAGTAGGTGTTATATGCAACGAAAATACAAGCAAGGCAGTTTTATTCTTCTTACCATATTCTGATCGAATAATTTTAGTAAAAATAAAAACAAATCTAGGAATCTTAAATATAATTCAAGTATACGTACCAACTGCAGAAAAAGATGACAGTATTATAGAGGACTTTTATCAACATATAAGTGGTGTTTTAAAATATACAAAGAAAAATGAAATTTTAGTTATTATGGGAGATTTTAATGCAAAAATTGGAAAAGGAAGAGTTGATGATTTAGTGGGAAACTTTGGATTGGGAACCCGCAATGACAAGGGAGATAGATTATTACAATTCTGTCAGGAAGAAGAATTAGTCATTAGTAATACTTGTTTTAAACTGCCAAATAGAAGATTATATACATGGAGATCACCTCAGGATAAAGAGAATAGTGTTGTGAGAAACCAGATAGACTGTATTTTAATTCGAAAAGGGTATAGGAATAGTATTATATCAGTTAAAACATATCCAGGGGCAGATGTTTGTTCAGACCATAATCCAGTAGTGGCTTGTATGAGAGTTAAGTTTAAGAAAAATAGTATTAAAATAAGTAGAAATATAGATACAGGGAGGCTAAGAGATCCCAAAACAAAGGAAAATACTAAAAATGATATAAATGAAGGTTTTTCAAAAATAAGGGAAAAATTTTGCAAAAGAAAAGAAGAAAAAACAAACAGTGAAGAATTATGGAATAATCTGAGGAAAACTATAAACAATGTAGCGAAACAAAATCTAAAACCTGAGAAAACACTAAAAAAGAAAGAATGGATGTCAAAAGAAATATTAGAATTAATGGAAGAACGAAGACATTGGAAACATAAAAATATTTTTAAATACTGTATAAAGAACTCCATATCACTATAAGAAGGAAAATTAAACAAGCATAAGAAAATTGGATGAAAGAAAAATGCGAGGAAATTGAAAATTTGCAAAGAAAACATGATACGTATAATGTACAGTACATAAGAAAATTAAAGAGCTTACCAGAACAAATAGAAGAAATAAATTTACTAATATTTTAAATGAAAAGGATGATTTAGTTTTGGAATTGGGGGAAAAACTGAAATTACGGAAAGAGTATGTTGAAAAATTATATTTTGACGAGAGAAATTTAAAATCTATAATAATTGATAAAGAAGAGGGACCAGCAATACTAAAAGTAGAAGTAAAGAATGCAATTAGAACAACTAAAGAAGGTAAAGCTACCGGACCAGATGAAGTTCCCGCCGAAATTTTGAAATTACTGGATGAAGATAGTCTTGATATTTTAGTGGATTTTTACAACATTGTTTACGAAAGTGGTGTAATTCCTCAAGATCTTTTAATGTCTACGTTTATAACAATTCCCAAAAAAGATAATGCAAAAAAATGGGGTGATTATGGAACTATAAGCCTGATGAGTCACGTTTTAAAAATTTTCTTAAGAATAATTCATACAAGAATTTATAAAAAATGTGAAGAAGATTTAAGCAACACACAGTTTGGGTTTAGAAAATCTTGTGGAACGGGAGAAGCTTTTTTTGCTTATATAGTCCTGGTAGAAATAAGTTTAAAGGTTAACAAGGATATATACGCCCGTTTTGTAGACTAGAAAAAGCATTTGATAGAATTCTGCATGATAAATTAATAGATATACTTAGAAAGAAAGGAATTGATAGAAATGAATTGCAAATTATAATAAATCTTTACTGGGAACAGAAAGCCAACATTTTAATTGATTCTGAATTATCTGAAGAAATAGAAATAAAAAGAGGAGTAAGGCAAGGATGTATTTTATCACGTTTACTTTTTAATATTTATTCAGATGAAAATTTTAAAGAAGCTTTAGAAGATATGGAACACATTGGAATTGTGATAAATGGGATGAATGTAAATAATATACGTTATGCTGACGATACAGTGGTTTTAACAGAAAATATAAATGATTTGACAATACTAATGGAAAAGATTAATTCAATAAGTAAATTCTACGGACTTCAGATGAATTATAAGAAAACAAAGCTACTTATTTCATGCAAGAAAAATATAGATAATGTAATGTTGCAGATACAAAACAGGACAATTGATACAGTTTAATCAATTAAGTATTTGGGAACTATCATACAGGAAGATGGCAGATGCATTAAAAAAAAATTAAATCTAGAATAGAAAATGCGAGGGATACTTTTATCAGAATGCAGAAATTTTTCAAATGCAATGTTTTTAATTTACATCTTAAAATTAGAATGTTAAGGTGCTATGTGATGCCAGTTTTGTTTTATGGAGTAGAAACGTGGATCTTAGATAAAAATATGTTAAACAAACTTGAAGCATTCGAAATGTGGTTATATAGAAGAATTTTAAAAATATCTTGGACAGATAGAATAACAAATGATGACGTTTTGCAAAGAATGGGGAAAGAAAAAGAAGTTTTAAGTACAGTTAAAAAAATAAAGACGGGGTATTTTGGCCACATCATCCGAGAAAGTAAATATGAAATTTTGAGAAATATTTTAGAGGGAAAAATCTGTGGAAAGAAAAGCCCAGGAAGGAGAAGAAAAAGTTGGTTGGGTAATATATTTGAATGGAATAATAAGAAAGCAGAAGAACTCACACGTGAAGCACAATTGAGATTGTTATAATACTAGTCCTACATTCAGAAATGAATATGGAACCAGAAGAAGAAGAAGAACGTTTTAAAAATAATTTTTTTTTTAAACTTATCTATATAAATAAAAATGTAACGTTCGTTTGTTCCTAATAGCTAATCTCCGAAAGTTCTATACCGATTGCTTTGNTTAAAAATTAAAACTTTTTTTTTAACTTATCTATATAAATAAAAATGTAATGTTCATTTGTTCAAAAGCTTAAATCTCCGAAAGTTCTTCACCAATTGCTTTCGAATTTTGACACAATGTTGCATTCGAATACGCGCATGTTTTTATATTGTATAGATATCGAAATTCGCTTTCCCCACGCGGGTGGAGATAACACGATTAAGGCTTACCGCGAAGAACTCGGTTTCTATTATACTATTTCAGATGCAATTTTATGTGTTTTTGATTGCGTTTTAATAGCGTACGTCAAGAGATTTTTCGAAATCCCCCCCGCGTGGAAAGTGTTATACATTTATAATACATACATTTTAAGCCACAGCAACACGTGGCCTGGTCTGCTAGTTATTCTATAAAGATTTTTTATATTTGTTGTGTATCTAGTAAGTGATAACAATTAACTGTCAAATTTATCGTTTTAATGCTTGTCATATTTTCCATAGTAGCATTCGACGAAGTCTTTTCGCTGCCATCCTGTAAACAACATGCGTCCACTCTGGACAGAAGTCGCTAGCGAGTTGGAAGCGCGTACAAAGATTCTCTCTGCCCAAGGGCGCTGGACGCTGCCACGTAGGAAGTAGCCTTAGATGAGCAAACGCTTAAATTGCTGTATTGGAATAGTGATACTAAAATCGTTGTTTACGTGTTGAGAAAAGTAAAACGTGTTAAATTTTTCAGACGTTTAACATTATATCACAAAAAATCTTTTAAACTAACAACTAACACTTTTAATCGCCTAAGCTAATGTTTGAATATCTTACCTAGAGCAGTAACAGGCTTGCACTTCCCAACAGGTAAGTCTCTGGATTCTAACAACGGTATCCATCCATTTGGATAAACGGGAGGAAATTCATTGGCTCTTCTTAACCTATTTGTTTCTTTTAATAACTGCATTCGTTTTCTGAGTAATTTCTTCGCATTCGTTCTTCCATCATCATAACCGATATCCGTCATATCCTGCATCGACAAACATTACTGTTGAAATGTAAATAATATTAAAATTTAAACTACTGCCTATGTTTTACTTACAACAACTCTACTATAAGTTGTTAACGAAAAATACATGACCAGAATAATAACGAAAAATAAAATCAGTAGATATGGTTTATTTATAATCGTTGTACTGATGCATTGAAACGTATCTAGAAACCAAGAATATTTCCATAATTCCTCTGTTACACTGCCGTATGTAAAGGAGAACATATTTGCTTGAATTATGATCTTGGATATGTCTAAAATGAAAAATTCAATTACATTATTTAATAATTTATTAAGTTCGATTAATTTAACACTCATACATAAACTGTTAATATAATTGATTATCTTAATAGGCTAGCATTGATAAGGTTTGGCTACACTGTTTCAATAGTAACGATTACTTCCCAGTGAACATTATATATTATACATATTATCATTATAATAATTATTGGTCAGATAAATATTAGTTCATAGAATTAATAGATATAAATGAAAGTTAATTAATTGTCAATTTTAACGAATAGTAAAGAAATATTTAGAGAACAGAAGCATATATTATGATATGTATATTAAATATAAAACTGTTATAATAAATTTCTAATACACAAGTTGTATTGTGTATTAAAATTCTGTTATAACTGTGGAAACCGGAAACACGGCACATTGAAATTTCAGTTCCATTTTGAGCGGTTTCCATTTTCGACAGATCTTGTTGTATTATCATTGTAAAGGTTGGATTGTCTTTAATTGTTTCTAGTGTTTTCGTACGCATTGCTTAGTAAATGTATGTAATTCTTTGTATAATTTGTACTTTCCAACTAGACAAACAACTTCTAAAATATATGATGAAGTAATTTTTTGTTTAATATTTAATGTTAACTCTTAGAATCAGTGGCGTAGCGTGGGTTTCAGCCGCCCGGTGCGGAGGAAAATTTCGCCTTATTTAGGTATCTCAATTGAAAAGACTAAAATTCAGTTTCATCACAGAATAAGTAATGAAAAATTCCGTGCTCATTTCAATCGGTCCGAATCGTAAGTGCGGGACAAAAATATGGAATAAAATGTAAAGAGATTTTTATGTGTAAAAACTTTTTATATACAGTATGTTGTAATTCGTATATATTATATAATTTTAGTTGGCTGAGAAGGGGCCACACAAGCCCGAAACATGTACAAAAAAACAGGTACATGTATCAATTAAAAATTGAATAAATTTACAATGAAGATTGCCTTGTGTTGTGTCTATGAACTATATGGTGTTGAAAACGACAAAAAATTTATAAAATAAATATTTTGATTATTTTGTGAACATTAAGATCATATATTTATCGGATTATACGCAATTATATTTACATTATATTTATCAAAATGAATAATTAGAATCATCGCTGACCTAGATCTAAAAATGGGTAAAGTTCAATTTTATATATCGAAAACTTAAACACAAACAATTAATGTTGATTATTCTGTTATAAAATTTATACACAAATTTATCGCTTAAAATGTAAAATATTCTTCAATTAAATTGTAATCTCTTATCGATGAATTACTATGAAAAAAACTGCATTAACAACACTTTTCCTTAAATTTACATAATATTAAAGTGTCGAACACGGGTAACCCGAAATAGAAAAATAACTGTTACAAAATCATTTAAAATATTAAGAAAGTTAATTTTTATTGTAAATTTATCAAAAACATTTTAAATTTACTGAAAAGCAATAATTTATATTCCTCGACATTTATGAATTTTCTAAAATTTTATAATTTAAAATTATAACTAAAAAACTACTCGAATTTTTTACACAGTAATTTTCTCATACGGAACATTTTTTGCAAATTTTTATTGTGCAAGAAAGCCGTTGGTTTTGATACAGAATATAATTTTTGCAGTTTTAGTTAAAACATAAAATGAATAAATAGTCGAAGCATTCGACAACATATTCTTAAGGATAATTTTTAGTCTTTAAGGGACCGTCCATAAATTACGTAAGGGCGATTTCGTCCATTCTAGACCCCCACCCACCCCTGTGTAAGAAACCGTAATATTTTCTTTAATCTCCCCTCC